TCCTCATGGACACCATCCCCATGGTCCCCCTCCTCATGGACACCATCCCCATGGTCCCCCTCCTCATGGTCCCCCTCCTCATGGACACCATCCCCATGGTCCCCCTCCTCATGGTCCCCCTCCTCATGGACACCATCCCCATGGTCCCCCCCCTCATGGGCCCCCTCCTCATGGACACCATCCCCATGGTCCCCCTCCTCATGGTCCCCCTCCTCATGGACACCATCCCCATGGTCCCCCACCTCATGGGCCCCCTCCTCATGGACACCATCCCCATGGTCCCCCTCCTCATGGACCCCCTCCCCATGACCATGATTTCCATGACTATGGACCCTGTGACCCACCATCCCATAGCCAGGGTCCCCATGGTTACCATCGCCGTGGCCATGGCCCACCACATGGCCACTCAGGAGAAAGAGGTCAGGGTAAAGAAAAGTTTCCTTTCCATCGGAGACAAATTGGATACGTTCACCGACTCCCTCCACTGAATGTAGGTGAAGTTCTTCCTCCTCCTGAAGCCAATTTCCCCAACTCCTTATTGCCAAACTGCAAAGGTCCCCCACTGCCAGATATTCAGCCCTTCCCTCAGTCAACCTCAGAATCATGTCCAGGGAAATTCAAGAGTGAGTTTCCACAAGTTTCTAAGTTTTTTCCAAATTCATCTCCAAAATAATATCTGATTCTTTGATGGGAAATAAATGAATAATGTTCTGAATTAAAATCATAAATAAAATGTGAGCAGTAATTAATGAAAATCGCAGTTATTTCAGTTATTTTAGCCTTGTTTTTATACTTGGGATAGGACAAAATGTGACTGGGAAAGGAGATGGTGCAAGAAGAGACAGACCAGAGGAAAGAAGAAAGATCTCAGTGCTACAAATCAGAAGCTAATTCACTCACTGCCTCTGAATCACTTGAGGCAAATCACTAATCCTTAGAATTTCTTTCTTTCTTGGATAGTATTCCTACTCATGCTATGGCAAGGCATATCATCAAAGTATACATTATTCCTGAAAGGATTGTAAGAGTTACCCAATGACTCCCAGAGGGTATTTCTAGTTGCCTAAATTTTCTTTTGGAAAAATTATTTCTAAATTCAATTATGAAGCAAATAAAGCTCTGGCTATAAATTGCAAAAAAAGTTACAGACATGAATCATGACCAAGAAATATCACTTTATTTTCAGGACAAATTATTTTCTATTTCACATTGCCAACCTTTTGGGCTAATGGGAAGCTAATCCCCATCCTTCTTGGAGTTCCTCTGCCCAGCGACACCCCACACCGAGTTTGCCACAATTCTAGAATCTCATGTACTGCCTAGGTGTTCGGGTGGACAGAAGAAGGTGGTCTGATTCTTGAACATTGGTTCACCAGGTCCCCCATGCTGAGGGATATTCATACCCTGTTCATATCTCTCTCTGAAGCTAGTTTATCTGTTCTTCCTGTATCGAACTAGGAATATATGAGTCTCTGTAACACCACTGAAGGATATGACCACCAAGACACACCACAGGACTATTCTTTCCCGGGGATCTTCCAGACTTCATTTCCAGAAAATCAGGCAGAGTTCCCTCTCAAAACCCTCAAACCCCATAGACCTTCTCATCTTTTTTATCTCCAGGCTAAGGACTCTTTCTGGTCTCAGATTAGTTTGCTTTATTCATTTATGATGCCAAAAAACTCTTCTCCAATACCCTATAACTTCTTTCTTTCCCCTTCTTTCTAAGTCAGAGTTCAAGAATTTATAAAGGTTAGTAAGATTTCAGATTCTCTCTACCTTCCAGCCACAGTGGTGATTAGCACTCCAAATACTGAAAAACCATATGACACAAGCACTGACCACAATCAGACCAGATTCGGCAACCAATCAGAGCAGCTGCCAGACACAAATAGCCAGTGGAGCCATACTGGTGGGCACCAGCTGAATGTTGCCTTGCAGAACCACATTCTTCCACGGAGGCATGTACACGAGGTTAGTTGCTTGAATGAAAGGTGAAATCAAGGACCAAAATATAATCATCATCATAGTAAAATAAAATAACTCTGGTTAATAACTCAAAATTTCATTCTCCCACAGGTGCATTTGTTTTGTAATTTATAAAGTACTTCCACAAACATCACTCGAGCTAATGAAAATATTAACTGAAAACAGGCATTGAAAACGCTCAAGTCATTTTAATTAAATGCATTCATTATATGCAGGCGCAGTTGCAGCAGGTGAATAATGAGATTTAAAAAAATCCTACCCTAGGGAGTTTACTTTCTACTAGAAGTTTTAGACAATATGCCATTGCTTGCTGCTTTTTTATGTGGTTTTGTTTACTTTTGAGACAGGGTCTCACTCTGTAATCCATACTGGCCTCCTCCTGCCTCAGCTTTTAGAGTGCTGGAATTACTATACCCAGCTTCCAATAATTCTTTTATATAAGTAATTGTATTAGAGTAGGCCAGAAGCTGTAACAAATAAACTCAGTGTCTTAATGACAAACAACTTGATTGTCTCTCATATCATAGTTCACAGGTGGCCATTCATATGGTGATTCAAGGTCCCAGGCTCCTTTTATCTTGTTCTTTCCTGCCTTTGGGCCTCAGTATTTTCTCCTGGATCCTCTGCATCTAGCCTACACAGGGAGAGAATACAGGATCATTAAGGTGGTTTTCATGGGCCAGGCCTGCTCACATTTCATTAGCTAGAACACAGTCATATGACACTTAATGCAAAGAAAATTAAGAAGTAGTCTAGATGCACTCCAAGGACGAAAGAGAAATTGGAAACAGGCTGCCATAGTCACCAGTTTTTGGAGAAGGGTGATGAGACCTTGAGAAGTTTAGTTACTTGCTTTGGATCCTACAGTTAGTAAATTGTGGGACTGGGATTAGAACTCTGATTAGCCTCCTCCAAAACCACATTGTTTCCTCTTTATTAAACTGCCTATACGTGCTGCCAAGTTCTGTTTCTGAATCTTCCCTTGAACCCACCACAATGATCAGCCTAGGCTTCTCTTTTCCAAGTCCTTCTGGATGGTGCACCATCACTTGCCCCTCACCCTTCCACCTTCCAGCAACTCCATCTCACTGCTTCCTCATTCCTCTCAGTCTAAAAATGTACCCAAATCTCTTTCACCCTTAATTTTCCCCCTAGGCATGTTATTAACATGCATCTGAAACCAGTAAGTCAGAGGTTCTTAGCTATTCTGTGTAATGTAAGATACGAAAAAGAACTAATTACCTGAATACATGCTACCTCAAAACAACCCCATTAAGATATTATGATTTCCCACATTTTACAGGTGAAGAAACAGGTGGAAACATGTGACCGTGATTTGCAAACACACACATGCACACTTTACTCATTCATACCAGGCACCAGACACACACATGAACACAGAATGGAAACACAAGCATATACCCAGCAAGCATGTGATCTCATACAGATGGGCACACATGCATACGCCATTGTACACATGCTGGCACGTAGCAATTAAGAGGCAGAGCCAGTTAAGAATTCAGGTTGGATACACAGCCAAGCACGTGTTCCTGCCCCACCTCTACAAAGCCACCACTCAGCTGACACTGATCACTCCCTCTTTTCCAGGGGCCGTCAGGTAGACACCATTGCCAAACTATAGATCCTATCAATAGCAATAAAGTATTGAATGTTTTGTGATTTTTTTTTCTTCTTTATTCTCTCCTTTTTTTCTCTTTTTCTTCCTTCTTTCTTCCCTTTCCATCCTCCTTCCTTCTCGCCCCCCATCCCTGTATGTTCTTCTCTTTCTTTTTTGGCTTGAAGGCAAAGGCAAATATCCAACAAGGCCTAAGCCATGGTTTTAATCTACTGTTAGACCACTTCTCCTTGAATAGTCTACCTTTATGTAAAAGGTTGTTAGGCTTGGTGAGTGAAAAATATCCTTATCCACCAAACCAAAAACAAGAAATAAGGCCAGGGCTTCACCCACCCTATCTCTTCTTAAGCTTTTCCTCTGTCGCCTGCATCCTGGGGAGCAGTTTCCTTTGTAGAGCTAATACAGTTGAGCAGAGAGAGGCTGGCTTGGACAGAGACCAGATAGGATGCCCACAGCTTATTTTCAGTTGACCAGGACATTTCCTGGGTAGAACTCCCAGCCCTCAATTCGTACCATTGGGCTTGGGCTTTGCAGGTGTGTAATGGAACTGATGGCAGCCTACTTCTGTGCACATAGATATCGGGCAAAGAAATTTCAAGTGAAAGCCACCTGCACCTGCACATTTAATGTTTACATGTGTAATGACCTTTGTAAATGCCTTGGAAAAGTCACAGGAAATAACAGAACTAGCTGGTGGCCTTTTCTTCTTCTTTATTAGATTCTGCTCTGATTTGCTGTACTAAGTTGTGCAATCACCTGGAAATGTGTCCTGTGTTCCCACGTGCTTTTCAAGGCAAACCAGCAGGTCAATGGCCCTAGTGTTGCAATGTTGTTACCTGAAATCTGCTTGAATAACCCAGCAGAGTTATTTGTCCTTCTGGAAGAAGGCAAATAAGATTTGACAGCAGGAATCCAACAAAAGTCCTGAGTGTTGAGTCAGAGAGAAGAGAACACAGAAGACAAGAGAGTGGAGACTATAAAGTCTGCATCCGAGTTGGCTCCTGATTCTTGGCAAAGTCGTCCCTCCTGTTCTAGAGGGAGAAGGTTACATCATGAAACTACTTACTCTCCTTTTCCTCTGTTCCAGGCTGCTGCCCAGTTTAACCCACGAAGCGGTCTCCGAGGAACTTGACTGCAATGATGAGGATGTGTTTAAGGCTGTGGATGCTGCTCTGAAGAAGTTTAACCAAAAGCAAAAACAAAGCAGCCACCAGTTTGTATTGTATCGCATAACTGAGGCCTCCAAGACGGTGAGTGAGCTGTTTCATCTTGAAGTCACTTGCGACTTGTGCTTTCACCTGCAGCCCAGGTCTCTCTCTCTCTCTCTCTCTCTCTCTCTCTCTCTCATACACACACACACACACACACACACACACACCACCACCACCATCACCACCACCACCAACTACTACCAGAGAAGAGATAATCTAAGGTAGGAATTTACAACTCTTGGAAAAGACCAACACTACTTTCTGGCCTGGGGTATGGGCAAGATACAAGTAGCTCTTAGGCAACCAAGACTGATTTCCTGGCTGATCAGGAAAATCAGTATCCTAGGATGAAATGAATGAACAGTAGCAGATGGCTAAGTAAGCAGAGTGGAAGAATCTAGGAACTCAGTCAGTCTGCAGTAAGGGACTCACCAGGTCTGTGGCCTGAGACCAAAATATAAAGATTTTCTAACTTTAAGTGAGAGAGAGTTATTTATGCTGTATGTCTAAGAAGAGTCAGGAATGAGATTTCCATATTTCCACTGCATTAGACAAAGTATCTACCATGAGTCTCAATGGCTAATTCATTAAAGTAAACAGCAGTGTTTCCACTGGTTTTTAATCTACTTTTATCTCCATTGATGTATGCAGGTAGGAGTCAAATGCTGAAAGCATGCATACTTCAGAGAAATACAAATCTTTTAAGAGTTTGTTTGAATAAATTCTGCTATAAAAGAGTTTTTCTGGGTTAGTTACGCAACTGGTTACTTCAGCAGAAAAAAAAAATCCGATCGTGATATTATGAGGATAAAGAAGAAAAGCCCAGTGGACACAGGCTTTTTGTTATTGTTGTTTTTGCAAAGTGGTATTAAGCCATTTTGTTTCACAATCCAGTACTATTTTGTGAAGGGTTTTTTGAGATAGGGTCTCATGGAACTATTTGCCCAGGCTAGCTTCAAACCTCGATCCTCCTGGTTTGTGCCTCCTGAGTAGCTGGGATTACAGATGTAAGCCACTGGTGCCCGGCCATATAGTCTTCTTTTATCTTTACTTTGCCATGTGGGTACAGCACCCACCAACTCCTGCTCCAGAGGCCTGAATTAACAAAATGGACGGAACCTTGGAAACTATCCTGTGTGACTCCATCATCTCCAGATAAAAGTGCTGTTTCCAGACAGTGTCTGTGAGGGTGATGCCCTGGGCTCCAGGAGACTGAGAATGTGGGGCTGGCCTTGCCTTCCTGAGGTTGTGAGGCTGCCTGACTTACGCCTGGTTCTCTCAGGGATTCCCTGCTTTCAGCTGCAAAGAAGCATTGGACAATATCCCTTCCCAGGTCCCTTATTGCTCTGACATGTCAAGATTCTACCAGAAAGCTTATCTAAATCAATAACCTGTGCTTTAAAATTTATTATATGACATCTTAGAAAAATTAGGTCACCAAAAATGAGGAATGGGGTCTGGACATGGTGGCTGACACCCATAATCCCAGCTATTTGGGAGACAGAGACCTGAGGCCAGCCTAGGCAAAAAGTTACTAAGACCCTATCTCAACAAACAAGCAGGGTGTGGTAGTACACACTTATAACATCCCAACTACCTGGGAGGTAGAGGTAGGAGCTCCAGGACCAAGGCAAGCCCACGCAAAACACAATGACGACAACCTAAAGCAAAACTGATTGAGGGTGTGGTAGAGTTCCTTGCCAGAGAAAGTCGTATGGGTTCATTGGTATGAGACGTCTAGAGTAAGCAAATAACACAGAGACTATTGGGTGCCAGGGGCTGGAGGTGGGGAAGAATGGGAATTAATTGCTAATAACTGCTAACAGGTACTTCTTTTGGGGGTGATAAAATGATCTAAATGAATCGTAGCAATGTTTGTAAATATACTTTTAAAAATTGAATTGTGTACTTTAAACATGGGTGAATTGTAGGGTGTGTGAATTTCATCTCAATAAAACTGTTTAAAAAGGGAAAAAGAAAAGTTAGAAAGCAAAACAAACATACTGAAATCACCTACCACTCAAGAGACAGTTGTTAACCTTTTATTTTTTCTTAAATAATGGTCTCTTGTTTGTTTTTTGTAATTGTAAAAGCAATATGGGTTAACTAGGAAAAATGGCAATTTAAAAATGTTTAAAGAATAGGGCTGGGGATGCCCCATGGTAAAGTGTTTGCCTGGAATGCACAAGGCCCTGGGTTTGATCCCCAGTACCAGAAAAAAAAAAAGAAAGAAAGAAACATTTAAAGAATAACATGAAAGGTAACTGTAATCCCACCACTGAGACACAAATACTAGCAGATATGAACAGATCACTGCATATCTTTCCAGAATTTTTAAAGATATATACATTCACATATAAATCAGTTTTTATAAGAAATGAGCTAATATTATGGATAATTCTTTGTAATCTCTAAGAATATATTTGTAAATATGTTGTGAACATTATTCCAAGGCAATATTTGCAAACATGTAAATAATTGGTGGGCGCTGGAGACTCAAACCTGCAATCCTACATGCTTTGGAAGCTGAGATCAGGAGGATTATGGTTCAAGTCCAGCCTTGGCAAGTAGTTCACAAATCCCATCTCCAAAATAACCAGAGAAAAATGGACTGGAGGCATGGCTCAAGTGGTAGAGAGCCTGCTTTGCAAGTGCAAAGCCCTGAGTTCAAACCCCAGTCCCACCAAAAAAATAGAAAGTGAATATTTATATTTTTAATGACTACTTGTCTCTCATTAAATCAAATCACATCAAGATTAATATTCATAACCATACCAGAACTCACTCAAATTATTTGTTGGTGGGCCAGCTGAAGGAAGTAAATATCTTTGATTTTTTTAGGCTGGTACTGAAACATTTTATTCCTTCAAGTATGAAATCAAGGAGGGCAACTGTACTGCTGAAAGTGGCAAAACCTGGCAGGACTGTGACTACAGAGATGCCCAGGAAGCCGTAAGTTGCAGTGATTACCAAGTCTCTAGCTTTCTCCATTGAACCTGATGTACTTTATAAAATTTAAATTAAAATTAATTTTAAACTGACAGATAAAACCATTAAAAATAGCACATACTAATAAGGTACCATGTGGCGTTTTGATACTTGTGTGCATTGTGGGATGTGTAAGCCAGATTAAGCACATCTATCTCTCCAAACTTTTATCAGTGCTTCATGGTGACAACATCCAAAATCCTTTTTCTAGCTTTCTGAAATATGCAACAATTGTTGTCTGTAGTCACCCTACTGTGTAATAGCACACCAGAGCCTCTCACTCCTATCTAACTGTAACTCAGTACCCATTCCTTAACCTCTTCTCAGCAGTCTCCCTGTTCTCTCTCCCACGCTGGTAACCACCATTCTACTCTCAACGTCTATGAGATCAACATTTTTAGATTCTACACGTGAGTGAGATCACGTGGTATTCATCTTTCTGTGCCTGGCTTATTTTACTTCACTTGTTGATCTTCAGTTCCATCCTTGTTAGTGCAAATGACAAGATTTCTTCTTTTTTATGGCTGAGTAAGTTTCCATTGTGTCTATGCACCACCTTTGCTTTACCCATTCATGAATTGTGGATTTTTTTTCACTTGTGTAGAGATGATTAATAGTGTTGAGCCCATTTATGGGGCATGCACATAAATCTTTAAATGAAAAGTTAGGCACTTGATATCTGTTCTTGAGAAGACATAAATTACAGATAAGCCAACAGTTAAAAAGGGAGAAAGCCCTCCCATGAGAACGGGGCCCTGGTGACAAATCAGAACATGTTTGTCAGATCACAGTGACAAGTAATCACTATTTGGGCTGAAGTCAAGGTCCAATGAGGGGAGAATGTGGGAGCTTTAACTACATAGACCTGGGTGCAGATGTTGACTTTGCCTCTAACTCGCTAGGTGGTGGCTAACAAGCTGCTTCACAAACTCTAGAGCTGATGTTATCCCTTATAAAAGAGAGATAATCTTGACCTCCTTGGGTGGTTGGGGGATGAAATGAAATAAATTATGTAAAGGACCTTGTTAATGATGGCCACCTTAAACAATTGTCTGGGGACCTCTGCTGCTTTCTTGCCTGGATTAATAGAGGAATTGGGTGTATCTGCCTGAAAGGGAGTCTTTCTTTCATGGTTGGTGGATTCCCTTCTCAGATGGTGGACATCAGCAATCTCTATGTGTTTTGAACATGACCATCACCTGCAGTTATAAAAGAGCCCTGGACCTCACCAAGTCAGGAAACCAGGCCTGCCACGCTGCCTCTGTGCCCTCCGTGAGCCTGTCCAGCAGGTGGACTAATTAGCTACTGCTGTGCCCTGCACTGCTGGCCTTCTAGGGTTATGGGGACACAGAGAGGTGTGCTTTATCCTGATAGAATAGCTATCACTTAGAGGTCCAATGGGTATGACTGAAGAATGACAAGACAAAACAAAACAATGATAACAAGTGGACATTTGCTGGTTTAAGTGTCAGTCATGGGTGGGCCTCCATTAGGCGTTTTATGTGTTTGCACACTTACTTTTTACAACGCCACGAGACAGATGTGGCATATCTCCTACAAGATGAGTAACTGAGGCTCTGAAAGCCAACAGGACTTGGCAGAGGGAACAGCTAGCAAGTGGCAGATCTGGATTGGCTTAGCCTATTTCTTTGGGGTTTTTTTGTTTTGTCTTTTTTTGGCAGCACTGGGGTTTGAACTCAGGGTCTAATGCTTGCTAGGCAGGTGCTCTTGCTGCTTGAGCCATTGTGCCTATTTCTAATAGGCTAAACCAAAGTTTATGTACATAGTATTAACCTACTGAAATTGAGAGGGGAATCAAGAGGAAAGCTCAGCAGCCTGGTTCTAGGCAATTCTAGCATCTTGGTGAAAAAAACAAAAAAAAAAATTTCCAGGGCTACAAAAAATATTCGCTAGCATGTCTCAAAACTGTTAGAAAAAACTTCACTTATTATTTTTTTTTTTGGTAGTAGTGGAGTTTGAATTCAGGGCCTGGTGCTTGCTAGGCAGCTCCTCAACTGCTTGAGTCAGGCCCCCAGCCCTCTTTTTTTTTTTTTTTTAACTTTTTACCACTATACTTATGAGGACAGCCCTCCTTTTTAAAGTAAGCCATATTTGGCAACTGTACCAGCTAGACTTTTCCATTGGAAAGGTCAGGATAAATGGTCTCTTTCTTTTCTTTTAGGCCACAGGAGAATGCACAGCAACTGTGGGGAAGAGGGGGAGTTCAAAATTCTCTGTAGCTACCCAAACCTGCCAGATTACTCCAGGTAGCTGATACATTTGGTGGCACTGCCCTGGGGGCTGGAGCAATTAACCATTTCTATGAATGAATGCAAGCTAGACCAGAGGGTGGAAGTAGCAATGCCATTTGTCCTGGGGGTGGGGCCTCAAAGTCCTGGGATTTGGCTAGGTTTATGCTAATCACCCCCTCTGAACTATCCCAACTCTCTTCCTATGTGCCAGCTTGCGTCAGGTGTGTGCAAGGGCCTGCCAGGGGACGAGAAGACACAGGCCTGCCTTCAATTGTAGGCAGCATCCTAGAGTGAGGGAAGCAGAGGCTTTGAGGCCCTGGAATCAGTCAGAGCTCTTTTTCACATTCTTCACTTTCCTTTCTAGAAAGAGATAACAGAAGTTCCCATTTCACACTCTCTCACATCATGATAGTATGTCACCATAGTGGCAAGTGTTTTTGTATATTGTCCTTAATCATTCAAATGGAAGCCACAAAAGTTATCTTTGTTGTGATATCAAATGAGATGATATACCCAAGATATAATATCTAGCAATCATAACCATGCATGAATTGAAATCCAGATGAAAAGAATAGCTAGCACTTATGGGACAGTCATGAATAGGCACTTTCTTTTGGCCTTTTTCTTTTTTTTTCTTTTGGTGGTACTGGGGATTGAACTCAGGACCTTGTACTTGCTAGGCAGGCACTCTACCATTTAAGCCACTCAACCAGTGCTTTTTGTATTGGTTATTTTTAAGATAAGGTCTTGCTTCATGCCCAGGCTGGCCTGGACTATGGTTCTTCTATTTGTGCCTCCTCACATAGCTGGGGTGACAGGCCCATGCCACCACAACCATTTCTCACTATTGGTAGAGAAAGGGTCTCATGAACTTTTTGCCCCAGTTGGCCTTGAACTGTAATCCTCCTTATCTCTGCCTCCTAGTATCTAGGATTATAAACTTAAGCCACAGCATCTGGTCTCCTTTTTTGCTCTTTTTTTTTAGTTTGATTTTCAGATACAGGGCCTCATGCTAACTTTCCCCAGGCTGATCTCTAGCCATGATACTCCTATATCTGCCTTTGAGTAGCAGGGATGAAAAGCATGCACCATCATGCCTGGCTTGATCTAGGCACTTTCTATGTATTAACTCAATTAATCCTCATAACAACTCTATGCAATTAATATCCCAATTTTTCAGTTGAGGAAACTGAGGCACATAGCTAAGTAACTTGCCAAAATTCTCACAGATAGTAAGTAGTACAGTTGGTAGTGTAGACCCTCAATAAGTGAAATTCCTTAATAATAAAATTATGGAGCAACTTATCAACAGATACACCCACGATTAGCTCCTTCACTAATTTAGCAGAGGCACCAAGTCCAGGGCATCCAGCACATCTAGGTGATGTCAATCACAGGAGCCTCCCTGGAATTGACCTGCCAGATAGAGGAGATGAGGAGTCTGCAGCATGGCTGTCTAAAGTCACCACAGTGGCAAAGTGCTTTATACGTGGCCTTAGTTGTCCATGTGGAACTCACAGCAGTTATCTCCTTGGAGTTCCGGTTCTTACAAAAAGTTGCATTCAAATATAAACAGTCCAAGACAGAAAGGAAATCAGAAGTAATTAAAAATTGATTCTAATTTCAATCCATCTCTGTAGAAATGTCAGAGCAGGGTGGAAAGGCACTCACTCACTTACGAGAGACACTAAGCCCACGTCTTTCTCTACTCGTCTGACCCTCAAAAAGCTGTCCTTTTCTCTCACCCCCCACTCAGGCTTCTGAATAAAAGCTGGCCTGAAAATGCATGGCATCATCTTCACTTCCCTTCTAATGTTGCCTTCTTTTCTGTTCAATAATCATCAGGTCAATTTCCCATGACTTCCTCTCCCATTTTAAGACTTTACCTATTACCTTGACATCTTCTGCAAAGAGAGGTGGGGAAAAGCTATGCATGATCATCCACTAATTTCTTCTGATACACCTATTTACAGAGAGAATCCATAAACTGGTTGCAAGGAAAGTTGTATCGAGCAGCTAAAAACCTAGGGCAGTACAGTCTAATGCTGTTGACCTCCATAATCTGTCAAGTCAACTTTCAGAGATAATCAACTTAAAAAGAGGAAACTATTGTTTGGGGTCACAGTTTTGGAGATGCCAGTCCATAATCTAGTGACTCTTTTGCTTTTGGGCCTGTGGTGAGGTAGTACATCATGGCAGGGAGTGTGTCATGGAGCTGGCAATCAGCGAGAGAAAGACAAAGAGAGAGAGAGAAAGAGAGAGAGACAGAGAGAGAGAGAGAGAGAGAGAGACAGAGAGAGACTGGAATCCCACAGTTCCCTTTGAGTTCATGCCCCAGTGACCTGACAGCTCTCACTATACCCTGCCTCTTAATGTTTCCACCACCTCCCAAGAATGCCATCCTGGACATGAAGCCTTTAACACATGGGCCTTTGGGGGGCATTTAAGATCCAACGATAGCACATACACAGGCAATGTGCTCCCACTTGGTGATGAAGTCTCAGACTTTTAACTGGTGTCCCTGTCACCCGCACCCACTCATTCTGCAGTTACCTCCTCCTTTCTAGGTCATTTGCTTTACTGACGCAGGCTAGGGGCATCTGTTATGAACAATTCTTGGTCATTTAATGCAACCTTCTTTTAAAATATTCGACATCATTTTCTTGGAAACCCCTCAATAGTTTCCTGTCCTTATAGCAGACCGTTCTTCCTTCATCTCTGAGGGTCTATGAATACCCTGAAATTATTTAGTGAATGTTATGATTGTGTGCATTTTCTTGGGGGAGGGGCCACAGCTTTCATCAGATTCCCCAAGGAGCCCATGACATTTGAGTATAGGTAGTAACCTCTGAATATAGTTATCAACCCTGGTCTTGAGAGTGGGGATCAAACTTGACAGCACAGCATCTCTCTACCTGCTGTTCACACCTCAAAATAACCCCTTTCTGCGTCATGCTTTAAGTTCTGGGAAAACGTGAGTCTGCCACATCCCACACTGCTGTGCCTTGACTCATCCTGCTTTCTCAGGAGCCATGTGTCCCTTCTCCCCATGCCCTCACACCTCATGCTGACACCTTTTGTCACCTTTATCCTCTTAGCTCAAATATCTTCATCTGATTCTTAGAAAAGTCTTCTCTGACCTCATTCTGGGCTCCTGTCTTTCCAGGCACTTGCTGAATTATATTGAAATCGTGGGTCTTCAGTTCTATCTTTCCTACCTCCTGTCATCTCCTTCCCAGAAGTGACCATTACTAACACATTAATGTCTTCACACAGCCTAGCTCAACACTTGGCATGTTGTAACAGGTACAAATGAACTGCAAGGGAAGGGAGCATGATGTACTACCTTTTCCCTTTACACATCAAACTATTCGATCACTTGGAGCCGAGAGAAACCCTTTATCTACACAGATCTCTTTACTATCACTGTGCAACCATCCATTTCCTTCTGCCAATGGTTTACTTTAGGTGATAAACCCAAAATGTAAACATCTAATAAATTTTAACAATATTGTGTGACATGAAAAATTAAAAAACAAATTTGTCTGAGGACAATTTTTTACTCCTGCAAGAGCGAGTAGCATGTTTGTCAAATTGTACTGATATAAAATAACTCAAACTCTGAATCCGGCTTCAAAGAGTCTTCATTAATGCTGAAAAAGAAATAATGATGTATCTGTAATGTTTTCATTTTTACGAAAAGGATAAATTCATGCATTACTTTGATAATTTAAAAATGAAATAGATTTTAAATAATTGCACAAGATATGCATGTAAAGTATTCTTGAGTGACAGTCTTGTAGTCTCATTTTTTCTAATGTGTGTAGGCTTTACCAGGAAGTTTATCAGGACCTTCTTAATGATCTTGTGTTAGGACCATGACCTGAATGCTGCTTTCCATTGTTAATGCTGTTTGCCTATTCTTCATTGAGCTGCTGGCCCAGTGGTGATGGACCAGTACAACTGTCTTGGCTGTGTGCACCCCATATCAACTGACAGCCGTGATCTGGAGCCTGTTTTGAAACACGCCGTTCAACATTTTAACAACAACACCAATCATTCCTACCTTTTTGCTCTTGGAGAAGTGAAAAGAGCCCGAAGACAGGTTTGTTTTTTAATTTTTCATTGTCCTATGAGATGATTAAAACTTTACATTTACTCTTTCTATTTAGGGTTTCATCACCTAAATAAACCATTGACAGAAGGAAAGTGTATGTTAATGGCACAGAAAACAAGGGGCTTTCTCTTTGGTCAAAGTGAATAGGAAAATACAACCTACAAAGGAGAAAAGGTGGCTAAAATAATGTATGTGTAACTGTGCCCCTTTCACTTGAAGTTTCTTTGTCTTAGGGTTGGTTATCTTTGGTGGGACTGGGGTTTGAACTCAGAGTCTCAGGCTTGGTAGGCAGGTGCTCTACCTCTTGAGTCACTCTGTCATCCCTGAAGTTTGTTTTTAATGAACAAGTAGTCAGCATTATATGTTCCTCCCTGAGACAGTGAAATGGCAGTCATTCTGGCTTTAAGGTTTTAAGAAATCTATATCATCATCTTAATAAAGATGGCTCTAAAATATTAAATTATTTCAAAAGGCTGACAATTCTGGGTACACCCTAAATTACAGTTTCCATGTAATCAGAGGAAAAAAGTAAATACCAAATAATCTAGTCTTTTTATTGGCTCCAGTTCATCAAATCTTTTCTGACATTTGACTGGGTCCCTTGTATCTCAGCCTCTTAGGAGTAATCTCTAAGAATGTCAGTGACATTCTCTGCATTTAATGTAACTTTCCTAGGTGCAAGACATGTGCTTTACTCAAGTATGTCCACAGATGGCCATCAGTATGGGACCAGCTCAGGATAAAGCAGGCAATCTCACTACCTGGTGATAAGAAGAGCATTTTTCTTTCACAAAATTCAGTAAAATACTTTTTCCCTGAAGCCTGGCAGAGAGAATGACCTACTGCCAGGTCTTATGTAGGAAAATAGAGTAATTCCATCTACATATTATTTTCCATTTGCAGTTGGATAGGTGTGGGGAGTGTTGTGTGGGAGTCTCGAAGGTGCTCAATATTTATTCAGTGATGATTTTTGTCTAGTAATAATAAAAGTTTATATTTCTTGAGCATTCTTATACACCATTTGGTGTTTTAAATACCTCAGAACTTTTAGATTTCATGGTGATTCATGTTTTAAATATACTTTAAACACTGAATTCCAAATTGTTTCAGGTGGTGAGTGGATTCAACTTTGAAATTACCTTCACAATTGTGCAAACCAATTGTTCCAAGGAGAAGTTCCCATTCTTAACTCCAGACTGCAAGTCCCTTTTGGATGGAGTAAGTAGGCAAAAGTTTAATCATGAGATTCTTAGTGTTTTGTTTCCAATATTTATAAGCATGGGAGCTACCAAGCTGTACAGGAAGATTGTCATTAAATTTAGATGACATTCAGCAACTCAAATCACCCTCACTTGGGATCCCTGAAGCTCGGGTCACTAGTCACTTACTCACCAGCTCAGAGAATCTGCAATTCTAGTGACAAGTACTTCCAGAGTAGAGCAGGGGTTACAAATGGCCTGAAACAAAGGATAAAATTGTCACTTTGTTGTTATGTATCTTCTCACCTCCTCTTTTACTTTGCTTCTCTGGGAAGTCAATGTCCTGCAGTGTCTTCTAGCTCTGTGTAGGACAGTTTCTCACTTCAAACTCTTCTCTGCTGTGTTCTTACCTCCTTTCATCTCCCTTTGTCTTTAATAAACACATTCTGAGTTTCTATCCCCTTGTGACCTTTCCTGGGAGGACATTTTGTCATCACAATCACAATTATGTTAGAGTGGCTTCTCTCAGTGGCAGTGGCTAGTGAGTGATAAACTGATCAAGGCATAAAACCTCAGGATATCTTCATTTCAGCAGAAAGCTGTGCTTTAGCCAAAGAAATGATGCAAATCCTTCATTCTAAAATTCTATTATATGGGAAAAATGGAAAATTCAGACCATGAGTTGCTAATTTAGGTGTTATTTTTAATAGAAAAGCATCTGAAATCAAATATATATGAAACAGTAGGAAATTAGTAAAGCACAATATATTCATATGATAGAAAGTTGTTCATAGAGTTTTTAGTGACATGACAAAATGGTTACAATATGTTAAATAAAAAGCAAAAAAAGCTGTAGATACAGATTCAAATTCATCCAAATATTTAAAGTAAAATTAAATGTGAATATAAAAAGTAATGGAAAACAAATATGCCAAAATATAGAACATAGTTAACTTTCAGTTGGAATTAGAAGTACATTTTCTGATTCTTTATACTTTCTGGAATTCCTCAAATTTTCTAATTAGTCACGCATTTATTTCATAACTGGAGAAAGAAGCAAAAAGGATACTGTCATAAGAGTGAAATAGTAATCCACAGATTGAGAGAAAATACTTGCCAATCTGGGCTGGAGGCCCAAGCGGTAGAGTGCCTACCTAGCAAGTGCAAGGCCCTAAATTCAACTACTAGTACCTCAAAAACAAAAAGAAAAAGCAAATCATATATCTGATAATATCTGATAAGGGTTTCATATGCAGAATATATACAGAAACCCTAGTATTCAACAAACCAAGTTAAAAAAAGTCAAAGGACCAGACATGATGTTACATACCTGTAATCCCAGCTTCAGGAGAGGCATAGGAGGAAGGATCGAGATTTGAGGCCCATCTGGAAAAACAGCAGGACCCTAACTGTAAAATAACTACAGCATAAAAGAGCTGAGATATAGCTCATAAGGTAGAGCACTTGCCTAACAAGTACAAGGCCCTGAGTTCAAACCCCACTGTCACCAAAATAGATAAATGAATAAATAATATTAAAAAATAAAAAGGCCAAAGAATTTGAATAAATCTTTCTCTAAAGAAGATTAGAAAATAGCCAATAAAAAAGAGAGGATACTCAAGGTCATTACTCATCAGGGAATGCAAACACAAACCTCAGTAAGATGCCATTCCATGCTAAGAAAGTAGCTATAATTTAAAAAAAAAAAAAGAGGAAAATAAATATTGGAACGGATGCAGAGAAGATGGAACTTTTGTATATTGCTGTGGGAACGTAAACTAGTACAGCCACTAGTACAAGATTGTTTGGCAAATCCTCACAAAGTTAAACATTCCAGACCGTCAAAATAAATAAATAAGCTAAGCATAAAATTACTTAAAACATAAAATTACTAGATTACCCAGCAATTGCACTCCTAGATATATGGCCAAAAAACATTGAAATGAGATACTTTAACGAATATGTGTACATGAATGTTCATAGCAGCCGAAAGGTGAGAACAACCCACGTGTCCATCAGCAATGATCGGGTAAGTGAAATGCCATAAACACACTCCACAGAGGACCTTCTGATGCTGTTACCGCACGAATGAAGCTTGAAGCACTATGCTATGTGAAATAAGCCAGACACAGAAGAACGAATATTGTATAATTCCACTGACATGAAATAGCTAGAATAGGAGGGACTGGGAAAAAGCAGGATGGCAATTTATTGCCTACTGGGTACAGAGTTTCTGATTGGAGTAATTCGATGGCCCTATGACATTGTGAGCACAACCTACACCACTGAATTGTACCACCTAAAATTTAAAATAACAAATTTTATGCTTTCTATGTACACATTTTATGTATCTTTATATATATTACACATTCTATATGTTCATTTTTGACAAAAAGAGAGGAATGCTCTAAGATTGTACTCTAGCTACTATTTAACTCTGTCAGGCCTATGAAAGCCTTCTGCGTTTTTTGTTTAATTAGCTATCTGAAGCTAAGTAGATCTAAATGCTATTAACATTAATCTTTCCTCATCTGTTTGTAGGCCTCAATTTAGTTACCTTGTCCCAATTCAAAGAAATGCAGGGGCTGGTTGAAGTTACAAAGACAATTGGGTTTTGGCTATAACTTCTCTGAGACTTCACTTCTTACCTGTATAATAAAAAATGATCATAGCAACTATTGCTGAGTTTTTATACTACCCAAAGGAAATGGAATACAAAGGAAATATTTTGCCCACAATCAGTAAGATTTGAGGCCTCCCATTTACATCCCCAGGGTGCTTGCTGGAAACACAGAATCCTAAGCCCCTGCACACATGTTAGCAAGGTGACTTAGGTGCACATTAGAGTTTTAAAAGCAGTGGTTTAAGACATTTCATAAGTGGTTCTCAAGTTCTACAGCTTAGTAGAATCACCAGGCTGGCTTTTAAAATACCTACTCCCTTGCAGTCCCACAGACAGGCTGATTTAACTGTAAAGGGGTGGGTCTGGTGCCAGAATGATCTAAAACCGTCTCAGTGAATGATATATTCTGATAGAATTGAGAACTGCCTGGTTACTCTTGACATCCTCCTCCCCACCCAAAATTAAAGCACGTAAGTGTAGCATTCCCTATATTGTTTAAAAACATGGCCTTTATAGCCAGGCGTGGTGGCTCACACCTGTAATCCCAGCTACTCAGGAAGCAGAGATTGGGAGGATGAAGGTTTCAGGGCAACCCAGACAAAAAGTTAGGGACACTCCCATCTCAAATAAACAGGCATGCACCTGTGGTTCCAGTTATGTGGGAGGCTGTAGGTAGGTAGTCCTGGGCAAAAACACGAGACCCCCATTTAAAAAAACAAAACCTAAGGGCTGGTGCAGTGTCTCAAGTGGTAGAGGGCCTGCCTACCAAATGTGAAGCCTTCAGTTCAAATCCTAGTCCTACAAAAAAAAAAAAAGCTTTTTGCTTTTTGGGTTGGAGGCAGACACAAGTGACAGAGTACTTGCCTAGAAAGCTCAAGGCTATAAATTCAAATTCTAGTACCCTGTGCAAGAAATAGACCTTTATTATACATGTATCCACTTTTTGGAATCATAGATATTATTTTGTTTAAAAAAACTTCATCAGAGTGTCATGGTAGACATAATATATTATCCTAGCACTTGGGAGACCAAGGCAGGAGGATTTCAAATTCAAGTCCAGTCTGAGCTACTTGGTGAGACTGTCTCAAAATACCAAAAAGAAAAGAAAGTAGAACAAAACATAAGTTCAAGACTATGTAGAAATATAGAAAAAAGCAATATCAAACCACAAAGACGAAGATCCAAAAACATCTTACTGTATTTCCTTTTGAGTTTTTTAAATTATTTTTTTCTTATCATATATTGTTGGCTGCTTGAGTTTTTTGTTCTGTTTTGTTTTTTTCTCTTTTTGAGTGAGGGAGGACAAAGGGTGAAAGAAAGTTATGGACAATTTTCAGTGACTTTTTCTTTTTTAATACTTGTAATTATTAATAACTATAATATTCTAGTGAAGACACCATAAATTATTTTTAAAATCTTGCTCCTACCTTTGGATATTTGGGTTATTTCTGTTTTTCATTATAGTTAATAATTTACCAAAATTTTTGACATTTATATTTAAAATTTTTGTTCAAAGTAAATCCCTTGTTTTATTCATGGCATAAATAAAAAGCTTTAAAAACTCTTTATAGATAGAGAGATAGATAACCAGTTTGCTAAGATGCACCAACTTACATTCTATTGGCTATGCATAATAGAATTTATTTTTAAAAAGGCTTAGCTAATTCATAGATAAAACTTTTTAGTTTTGCCAGGCACTGGTGGCATAGACCTGTAGTCCTAGCTATTGGGCAGCTGAGATCAGCATTACTTGAGGCCAGCCTGGACAAATAGTTCATGAGACCCCCATCTCCAAAATAACCAGAGCAAAATGAGCTGGAGTTGTGGCTCAAGCAATAGAGCATCTGCTTTGCAAGCACAAAGCCCTGAGTTCAAACCCCAGTCCCAGGACTCGTGGAGTGGCTCAAGAGGTAGAGCACCTACCTAAAGCAAGTGTAAGTTCCTTGAGTTCAAACCCCAGTTTCGCCAAAAACAAAAACAAACAAACAAAAAACCAGCCCCACCAAAATATTATGTGTATATATTATAGTTTTAATTTTATTCAATTTTAATTTATTTAATTTAAACTTTATTTATAGTTTTATTACAGTTTTATATATTATAGTTTCAATTTTCTTAATAACCAATATAGCTAGTATGTTTTTACCATAATATTTTCGTACACACGTTGGAAACTTATTGGTTGAATTAATGAGTTACGAATAGTTCTATCTCTTACCATTTCTTTTTGGGATAAATTTTAATGAACTAGAAAAGAACATTTACATATTATAGATATCAATGCTTTATCATTTTTCCTCAATTTTTACCTTTCAGTTCTCATTGTGGTATTTCTTTTGCTTGTTTGTTAGAAATGGGGCCACTGTATCACCCAGGTTGGCCCTAGAACTCCTAAG